TTAATATATATGTGTGTGTGTGTGTGTGTGTGTGTGTGTTATATGGAAAATTATAGATTGACAGCTGGGAATGTACTTTTGAATATTACAAAACATGTATGTGTGCATAAGGGGGTATGGACTGGCCATTTGTGAGCATCTCGCTCGCGAGATTTAGTAAAATGCTAACAAAAGAACGAATCTACGGCATACTTCTTCCTGGACCAAATATAGCCTTTTAACATAACCTGATCCGGATTCGGTGTTGTAACGAACTGTAGAACAATAACAACCACCTTGCTATTCTGACGTGTGTTGTACTCTGTTTTCTACAGAATTTAGGCATGCATCAACGGCATAGACTCTTACGCTGGTAATAGTAGTATAAATGCTGCCGCGAGAAGTCACGCAGATGTGTAACTAACGTACTGTTATGTAGGGCAATACCGTAAGTATGCGTGTATACTGCACATGTATTGATCTCAACGTAGATAAAGGAGAAGTGAAACTATGCAGGACTACCATACGCTTCAGCTTGTACACGGTCGCATATATGTACATAGCAATAGCCGTATATGTATTCCGCAGGTATACATGGCCCACTTCATCATATGCGAATACAAGCACGCAGAAGCGAAAAGGTCCAAAATACACGCACAAACATAATGACCAATTCTACCCCATGTATCTCGTGCCTATCTCATGGACACGGACACAAAGGCAATCACACCACACAAAGGAATATACTACCTGCTTCTTCTTCAACAACTCGGACGCCTGTGTGTGCACATCTTCCTTAATGAAAACAGTCCTCAGCGAAGCCGAGCCTGTGCCGACAGTCAAATTGACGATTCAACGTGTGAGTAACAGAATTGTCAGATGCTAAAACTGTAACTAAAACCAATACAAGAGCTGAAACCCTAAAACTTCAAACCCCTAAAGCCCTAAATACTAAAACCTTCATCTCAGCTTGTGTGGAGCTACAACAGCAATTGAAAACTTCATTGTGAGAGACGCACAGTTTGTACTATAGTGGACACACTCGCCACGCACCCCCCACGCATCCACTACGTAGTAAGGCCTGAGGGTATACAGTGAACAAAGTTCCGAACAGCCCGGAACATACTATTCGCATCAGACGGGCTGATAAGCGAGGGTTGTGGCTGTCTGGGAATGTTGTTGTACAGAGGCCTATATCGCCTCCATTATTAAATCTTGCTACGAGTATGTATGAGTGTGTGCCCTGGACGACGTTCGTATACAGCGCGTCTGACACTCAAAGCGAATCCAGACATCATGGATATTTGATAGTTAATACGATAGACTGTTATTCACGGCTTCTGCTTGGCCTAAAATAACGCTGTGCATAGTCATGCACTATACTTACTGATGTGTTTTGTCGCTAGACGTCGCACTTTCTCTAAGGAGGCTAAGAGCTTTAGCCTGTCGTTATCATTGGCATCAATACATGTCAGGATGGGTCGTAATTCTGCGGTGAGCGCTTCTTGTTTCAACTTGATTTGGTTGGCCTGCGAAATAGATAGATGTGAAAATATACGAAATTCATTGGTGTTCACTGGACTAAGGGTGTTGGTATGTAGGTACACAGAGACATGCATGTGTTTAAAGGATTCATTATGACATAATAGATGGAAGCCAATCGGCAGATAGTTTCTAAATATTTGACATACTTTGTTCACACAAAAAATGTGAAACGATAATTACGGGACACTGAATACGCTTATCATATATATCCAATAAAGCAAACACACAAAAATCTCGTACAGAAAAGCTCATCAATTGGGCATCGTGCATTCCAAGCTGAATATATGTACACACACACACACATATA